GTATAACAGGCTCCATTTCCGGCATGGTGACTAGTAGCCATTTAGAAGTCACTGATATTCCTAACAGTTATTTCCATTTGTCATGTTCTATCAAACTTTGATTCTTCCTTGAATAAATCAAGATAGAGCTCCTCCAAAACAGAAGCAAATATAGGTACCTCATAGATGTAATATGATTATGCTGAATTTTTGCTCTTAGCTTCCAATTCCAAATTTGTCTGGCTGTTAGCAACTAAGTTAGTTTTCTTGGCTAAAACTATTTTTTAATATGTTTGCCTAAGTTCAAACACAGTTGTGTAAGCTCCATGTGCTTTTCTCATTTGTTTTCTGAAATGTTTCCTCAACATTCTTTGTCAAACCATGGGTTTTTTCTATTTCTTTTCCTGTTTGATCGAACCCTAATTAATAACAGAGCTTTAATTTAGGAGTAGATAGCTTGGTATGCATACAACGCAAAATCAATCTTTTTTCAGGAGTACAAACCATATTCCCCAACTCTTTTCCTGTGTTTAAATTCAGGATCAAACTTAACTTTTGTTCTGTCTGCTTGCTCCCATCTTAATCGTTTCTCGTGCACTGTATGCAGCCTCTGCCTTGCCCGTTTATCATCCTGAGTCATAGTTCTTAAATCAGATTCAGGAATTAACTGAGTTGATGGCGGTTGGTGTTCTTGATAGTCTCTAATGTTCACTGAAATATCAGAGAATGGGTGGACATTCTGTCTAGCCACTCAAATGTAATCAATAACACTGCCTGCAATTATTAGTAAAATACTTAAAGGGATAGGAAAATGTAAGGTCACTTGGTCCTAGGATCTGTAGCTCAGTTCAGTATATTAACCTCATTATATACATTGTATACTCAACTAGTATACAGTTTGGGGAATGTCACCAGTTTGTCATCCTATCCTAAGTCATCTTTAATGGAAAGAACTGACTATCACCCTTTCGTATCTTTGATTTTTCTGTTTCAAACCCTGCCAGCAAGATCTCTTCCACAAATGCAAGTCATGTTTCTTGGAGGCAATCAAACCAAAGTTGGACAGAGATTTAATCAACATTACCATTAAGGCAGGTCCTCTAGCTTACTATGTTCCAATAAAGAGTTTTAGCCATCAAAATTGTGAGATTATATTTGTGACTACTGATGAGTAACAGTCATGATTTATCAGCATACCCTGTTTGAATTGGGAGAGGAAAATCTGATGGCAAATCCACCAGACATGTGTAATGTGCTAATATTAGTTCTCATTAAATTAAGTTTGGTCTAGACTGCTCTTGACACCCCATTACATCCCCATAAAGCTTCTTCCAGATTCTGGCTCTGAGGGAACACTCTTAGGTTTAGGATAATTGATGAATACTAACTTCTGTGGAATCAGACCAAATTGCAGTCATTTTTCAAATAAATATCTGACCAGAATAAAGTACTAGGCCCATCTTAATAATAATACTGATATAATCCTCCAACTTTCCCATATTGCTACAAAATGCTTTGCCTATCCTCCAAGTCAGGATCAATAGTTGTTTTCCCCTCTGTTGGATCTTGACTATCTGCTATAAATTAACCACTGTCCAGTCCATTGTCTGCTTTCTTCTCTTCAATGACTTTTTTAGGATTTGAATTGGTTAGTATCTAGCAATTCAAGCAGCCTTTTAAATCTCTTTTCTGACAGAAATATTCTTTTCGCTTCCACTTCCTTATGCTTTTGATATTTTTACATTTCTTCTGATTTTACATTCTTTCTTAAAAGCTGCTCTGTCAGCACCTTTACTATGGATCTCTGTGGATTTTTTGTTTTGAGGACTGTAAAGATTTCTTGGTTGTTGCCCTTTATTGCACAATGCTTTCATCAGCTCTCTTTGTCCCAAAACTCCTCTCTTGGGATGTATAGTTCTCTACCAGTGCTGTTAATAATCAATTACTTTCTGAGAGGAGATTATAAAATGAGAGTTAGGTCCCTACAAACCATATAAAACTATCCTTCAGTCTTGAAATTACCTTCCTCTATTTCTTTGGTTTGAGTGGAGACTGATTTGGTGATTTCTATTTTGAGATTGGGACATTAAAGACAAACTCAAAAATCTCTCTGTGTAAGTTCTTTTATCAGTCCCAGTTTATCCATTTGGCCCATCCTTATCCACCTGCTGCAGTTCCTCTGTAACAGACAAATATTCTTCAAGGGCCAGCTCTGAGGCAGATCTATTGAGGATCTTAAATCCTGAGTTCTTCCATTGTCCCTTTAAGATATACCAACCAGCCCAATAGCAGTAACCTAGATAGTCAACAGTCCTGCACTTTGCAAATTTTTACTCTCCTTCCTTTCCTATTCCGAAAAATGCTGTATCATTTTGATTTAAGTTTCCCAAGGTTCAGGGAGGCTGTTTTGTAGGCCAGCAGTAATCCCTGAGTCTTTTGTATGTTTTTCTGGTGGGCACCATCTTCCCAGTATAGACACTAATCTTCTATTTAATCACTTCTCAGGGAGATATCTTGTGCATTCCACAATTATATTCTATTCTCATTGAGGTTTACTTCATTTTCTGTCCAGTTCTTTCATTTGGCCTCACTGGTACCAAGCAGATACGCATTAACTGGCAAGCCTGTTGACAGCAACCGTGACATAAGTAGTTTGTTGGACTTTAAAAACAGAGTTCTAGAACCTGGTTCTGATAATCTGCACCAGTGGTGGCGAACCTTTTAGAGACCGAGTGCCCAAACTGCAACCCAAAATCCACTTATTTATCGCAAATGCCAACACTGCAATAAAACCTGAAAACTGATATTTTAGTTTAGAAAAAGCAACTCACAGCCAGTCCAAGCAAATATATGTATATCTTTGGCAGCGCCATGCGAAAGCTCAGATGAGTCACGGTTAATGAGTCACGGCTCAAGATGTCATCACCTGGAACTGCTACTCCTTTCCGAGCATGAGCATGGCCCCTGTATGTGCTATTATCTGATGTTCGGCTGCTGGGGCGATGCTGACGAGACTTGGCTTGTGTGCCGACAGAGAGGGCTCTGTGTGCCCACTGTGGCACGTATGCCATAGGTTCACCATCACTGACCTAACCCTACCTTGGTGCACTCCCCTAACCCTAATATAAGGGTAAAGTTCCATAGAAAAGAGGGCTATTTTGAGAAAGCCTTCCTTGAGTAGCTTTTTCTGCACTGCTCATCATTTCTGCCCATTCTAAACACATTCCAACCATGAAAATCATGCCTGGACACCTCGTTTTTGTAACCCTAACCCTACCCTGGTTCATACCCCTAACCCTAATATAGGACTAAAGTTCCGTAGAAAAGAGGGAAATTTTGAAAAAGGCTTCCTTGAGTAGCTTTCTTTGCACTGCTCATCATTTCTGCCTATTCTTAACACATTCCAACTATCCAAATCATGCCAGAACACCTCATTTTTGTAACTCTAACCCATTCATGGTGAACCTTTTAGAGACCGAGTGCCCAAACTGCAACCCAAAACCCACTTATTAATTGCAAATGCCAACACTGCAATAAAACCTGAAAACAGGTTTCAGTTTAGAAAAAACAACTCACAGTCCAAGTAAATATATCCTTGGCATCGCACTGACTGGTCATGCGAAAGCTCAGACGAGTTGCAGCTAATGAGTCGCAATTCATGACATCATCGCCTGGCACCACTACTCCTTTCCAATCATGCGCATGGTCCCTATGTGTGCTTTTATCCGATGCTCAGCGACTGGAGCGATGCTGGGACGACTTGGCTCATGTGCTGACAGAGGGCTCTGAGTGCCCGCTGTGGCTTGCATGCTATAGGTTCGCCACCACTGACCTAGACTCTCATTAGAGTACATATTTGAAGAGATATGTATATCCTAGTAAAGGAGCTGAGCTTGCAAGATCTGAGCAGGGCTGCCAAGGTCTGAGCATTTTGGAGAGAATTCATTCATAGGAGATAACAGTATGTGACAACAAGGGCCTTTAGATTGTAGTAACTCTGAATGATTCCACTTCCTTATTCACTGTGCCATTGTGTGGATTTTGATAGTGAATGTTTATAGCACTATCAAATGAATTAAAATCCCATCTCAGCCATAGATTTGGTGGGCAAGAATTTTCAGCTTGAGTCACCTTTTTTTTTTTTTTCATTTCTGTACTACCCAATAACCAAAACTGTTTGGGTAGCTTAAAGTAATTAAAGCACAACTTAAAGCACAGCTTAAAGCACAACTACAATAATAAACATACAGCATAACATTTCAATATAAAAGATTTAAAACAATTCGAACAATCAGTTTCAATTTAAAACAGACCTGTTAAAGCCACTGACATATCCCATCACATGCAATTAAATGCGTTGGAGTGGAAGGCAGGCTTAACCTGGTGCTGAAGCAATGATATAGTTGGGGCCAGGTGGACCCCAGTGGGAGATCGTTCCACAACTGAGAGATCCTCTCCCTTGTTACTGCCCCCAGAGCCCCCCTTGGAGGTGGCAATCAGGAAGAGCTCAAATGTAGGTGCTGGTGTATGGATAGATTCAGAGACTTTCTGTCAATTATTGCAGTCCCAAGCCATGTAGGTCTTCATAGGTTAAAAGCAGCATCATATACTAGCCATAGCCATCTTCCTTGCACAAAGACTGAAAAGATAACCAAATAAAGTTCATCTGGAGATCTTGATATTAACTATGTTGTATAAATAATTACTGGGAAAGGTTATTGAAATCTAAATCTGTTCAGATTGTACATTTTTACAAGAGCTGTGCTGAACCAAGCCAAGTCTCTATCTAGTCCAACCTTCTCCTGCAACACTGGCCGACCAGCTGCCTGTGGGAAGCTTAAAAACAAGGTTTGAGTGAAGCTGCACCTGTTTCACTGGACTGGTAACTGCTGCCCATACTGGAAGAAGCAAATGGTACCATGGCTCTTGATAGCCATATCCTCCATCAGTTGACGTTTCATTTTAGAGTTGAATAAATATCTGTGCTGCTACTTACTTAGTCTTTTTGCCTTCTTTTTCAGTGATGGGACAAGTTCATGAACACCGAGAGCACCACGGTAAATGAAGCCAGTGCAATATGTTCAGTGTAGAGGACCTCCTAATTTCTCATGGATACAAATTATCTAAAAATCCCAGCAACCTGTATGAGAACAGAAATGATGGATTCCAGCCTGAGGTTGTGGATAGTTCTAGTCATGGAACTTTGAATGGGTCCTCAGCCAACTCTGGAGCCTATGTCAGGAGCAGGAAGGGAGAAATGAAAAGCTACCCGAATGACAATGAAAGCTGTCATGTCCTCCAAGGGAGGCGGCTGGGCCCCAGTTTCCACAGAGACTGTGCCGGTTCAGCCAGTACTCATGCTTCTGAGGCTGGGTAAGTTTCTGTTTTCCCCTGTGTATTTCCTTAGATCTCTTCAAAAGAAAGCCAGAGATCAGATCTCTAGCAAGCTTAACTTTTTTCTTTTTTTGGTGATGCGGGGGAGCGTTAAAGGGAAGCTGCTTGCACATCAACTGAAAAGGAGAACAAAAAGAACACAGCTTTGCATAAAATTTGCATATCCTAGTTGATGTATATAGAAGTGAATTGAGAAGGAATTACTGTAAGTGGAAATACAATATATTTTGTCATCATACTACTTGTCTGTTCAGTTTGTTGTCCACAGGCTAACAGTTGATGGAAAACTTGAAGGCCCTGATGGACTCCTATCTTCAGTTTATCTTTAACTGGACTTGGACCATCAAATAAAGGACACCCTCAAATAGCTAACTGTCCCATGTAAAGCAGGATACAGAGGCACTCTTGAGCACTATGGTTGTGTTCTGCTTCTGACTGTATTCTGACTTGGGCCTTTAAAATCAGGTTGTACACAGGTTGTTTTGTTAATAATGCTATCTTTGTGCACAACCTTAATCAAAAGATGTTGTAGAGATAATTCAGAACTGTCTGAAGCAATTGTGAAGCAGCGAGTATCCTTGCCTTGACAATAAGCAATCTATGAATGGGGCAAATGTTCTAATATACAGCGTTCATTCAAATTTCCCTAATGGGCTAGTGAAGGCTTGAAACATGCCAGTCTATGCAGGAAAGAACTGGGATAATATAGTGAAAGAAAATACATCCAGGCCTTAAGTGTAGGCAAATAATTCTCTTCCACTGTTATTAATTTACAGGATCTGTATACTGCTCCCTGTCAGCAAGATTTCAGACCACCAAACCATAAAAGGAAAAGAATCAAAATACAGAATAATTTAAACTTGTGTGTGTTAACCTAATCCCATGGCTAGTCAGTCAGGGAAGGTTATTTAAGTAATAATGTCTTCAGCAGGTACTGAAAACAAAACAGTGTCAGTACCCTCCTGAATCAAGAAGCTGGGAGTTCCAGAGGGAAGGAGCCAATACACAAGAAGCTTCACTGCAAGGGGACTCAGACAGACAATAAGTCCATGTGGAACCAGCAGTAGTAACTCTGATGAACACAGTAGTAGAGACAGCCTGGTAAGGGAGTAGGCACTTTTTCCACTATTCTGGCTTGGCTGTTCAGGACACAGACTAGTGTAATTCTTGGTTGTAAACAAAATGAGAAAATCTTCTGGGTTCAATTTGAGTGGAAGGATAAATTGACTGAAGAAGTTTTGTCTATGTGAGAAAGAGAGAGAGAGTGAGTCTTCAACAGCACATTAATTCATTTTTGGAAAAAACCTCAGTGGCAACAAAAATTGGATTGTGTCCAGGTTGATTTCAGTGATGCCTTTTTATTGGCCATCTCTACCAAGTTTTAAAGGGCTGTACCAAGTTTTAACTGGAAGGAATTTGGCCCCAGAACCTGAGGCACCACTGTTGTAGATAATGGGCTGCCTGCGTGAAGCTCATGCAAGATGCTCCGAGTGAAAGAACATGATATTGCGATGAATGAAGTGAGTTGCAGCTTCAGGGGAAAGAAAATGTTGTCCAGCTGAAAGCTTATTTGTCTTTGGGGCCAGCAAGGCAGTTAAGCTCTCAACAATTTAAAAAAAAGAACATAGGTTAAATAGAAAGTCATGGATTGTTAAGTGTTATTTAATCAACGTATTTAGCATGATACTGAGATTTAAGTGGTAAAATATTGTTCTGCAAAAGTAACAGGTAAACAAGACCTTAAGGAAAGCCAAAAGAAAAAAAAGTACACTGGTGAAATACTGAAGCAGAAAAAGAAATCCTCACAATGCTGCTGAAAACAGGAAGCCTGTGCATTTAGAATCTCCCAGTGAAGTGGTTGTAAGTGTCCCCATTCAAAGGGGGCCATTTCAACTCAGGTGTGAGCAAACAGGTTGTGAAGCAAATGTAGGACTGCTCCTGCAAGGTTAAAGCAGTCAGTCCAGTAGAAGGCCCTGTTGTCACTTCCTATCATCCATGCACTTTTGAACTGGAACAAATTAGACAGGAACTAGTGTAGGGCTTGGAAGGAGGCACTTTGTAACTGTGTTTCTGCAGCTGTTGATCAACCAAACAAAAGGTTTAAAAGAAGAAAAATGGTTTTACTTTATGAAGGCTTGTGCTGAAAAGACAGGTTGTTATTCGTTAGAATAGAAATGTTAAATGGTGTTCTCTTTCACTCACACATGCTTACTGCTTCTGTATGTAAACAATTTTGAAAGCACTTCAGTCCTAGGGTGTGTAAATATATCTGCTTTCTGTTTTCAGTGCAATTTTTTCAATGCCTCCCTCTTTTTACATGAAAACTAACTTGAGCAAAATAACAGTGTTGGCTGTGGCAGCTCATGATATCTGAAGAAAAGCTCAATGTTAAATTTTCTGTCTCATGTAGCAATTCTTTATACCAAGGGCCATTTTAATGTTATAACATGACTTCAAGATACAGCGTGGTCTGAAGGCACATGATGTGCTATAACCCTTGCTGGAGGTCTGGGTCTGGTCAGCTGCAGCATTGTAGCCCACCCAGCATGTGCTTTACATTGCATGTAGAAGGGCTAAGAAGCTGCTAACGATCACATCTGCAGTGACAGAAGCAACTATTTGATATTTCCAGCTCCATCAAAGAAAAACAGGAAAATCAATGTAATAAATGCATCATATCATCCTAATAATTGCTCTTTGTTTTTACCAGTTTATTTCAATCAGTATTGCTGTCCAGTCTTATGGTATGCTTAGGAGGTCATGCCTTGCTCTACGTTCTCTGCTTATTGTTCTGCTATTGTTCAGCCTGCTTATTAGAACAACTCCAAGTTGTCTTCCAGCCTTTTGCAGAAGTGACACGTATGATACACATTTCATAGCACGTGTGGAAGTCAGCTGCACACGTCACATAGGAAGAGAAGATGACTCTCATCTTAATCATGCTACACTTTCTTGCATACAGAATAACTGAGTCACCTGTTCCATTCTTGTACATTGTTGAGTGCTTTCTCATTTCTGGCCTGTGGAAGGAAGTAATTTTCCATCCTGAACAATTTTGCTCAGATTTGTTCTAATCTTTCTGATGAAAACAAAAACTCATTTTTTTGCTACAAGTGGTTTTCTTGATGAGATGAATCCATGTACATAAATGGAAGCAATTTCCATAGTGCTTCAAATGTGGATGATTGGCATGTGTGTGTATGTGTTTCATTTTTTGAACCTTACTATTTTTAGAAAGACAGGGGCTCTTGGGTTCCCCCACTCTAGAATTCTTTCTCATCCAAGAACAAACTCTACACATTAGGATTGAGGGGGAGGGAATTAAATTCTGCTGTCTGATCTACATTCTTGCCCTCCTTCTGTCAAGTTTGATTTTTCTTTTGGATTATGCTCATGGCAGTTACACGTTTGAACCTTGTACGTATTTGCAGGAACATGAACAGTGCATCCTGATGTGCTGTGGAGAGTTGTCACTTTTAGGAACTCGTATGGATTTCCCAGAAAGAGCTGTTTTACACATTACACATTTTCAACACAGAAAGCACGTGCATTTAAGAAATACCATGAAGTTTAGGGAATGTAATTTTCATACAATCAGAAATTGTATGAAATTGTCCATCTCTCCTGTGTGTGTTACATTGCATATAGAAGGGCTAAAGCACTGTGAACTATTGCATCTATGGTGATCGATGCAACTATTTCTCTTCTTTTTTCTGGATGTACTTTATAGCATAAATCCATATCTGTCTACATCTAGCAAGATAACCCTCTGGCTGGCATAGTATAGGAACTTCTGAGTCCTAATTCTGGAGTAGTTCTCCAGGGTTTATTCAGGCTTGGAACGGCTTATTAACATGTTTGTCCACACATACCCGTGTTAATCATTTCCGGTACAAAAGGGGCCGGGGAGGATCCCTCTGTACCAGTTTAAAATTATTCCTTTCCTGATCACCTGGAGGGAATTCTTACTCACTGCAGGCAACCAGTTAAGCCGCTATCTGTAAGTCCGATTCTGTTTATTTTCTGAGCTGCACCCAGAGTCGTATCAAAGATACTCGTCAAAGAGTGATTGAAAGGGAAAATAATGCTATCTGAAGATCCGAATTATGTGCACAGCAGTCTTCCCTGAAAAGAATAAGGCGTCATTTTGAGAGAGGAATCAGGATCTGCCCATGCAGGGAGGAACTCCTCCGTTCCCATCTCACTGGAGAAGAACGTGCAGACAACCGGAAAGCATCTTCTCTCCCCTTGTGTCTGGATTGTGCCTATCCCACCACAAGTATCTAAGGGAGATGGTTGCACAATCACTTTCTTATGCTGAATTATTCCAGAAAAGTGGATAACCCAAGACATGATGATAGAATATGTTTTATAGCTTACAGAATGCTGGACAGGGAGGCGAGACTGGCTGGAAGCAGGAAAAGAAGTTTCCTGTTAAGGAATGAAGACATCCTACAACCTTCTGTTGTGTATCTACACTTGTAGCTCAGTTTCTTTTAAAAAAACACACAAGTTCTCTTCACGTGTGTATATAATGATTTTTTTTATGTATAGTTTTTAGCATATATGCATCCTAGTATATAAATAGCAGTTGCAAATGAAATACTTGGTCAAGTAGTATTTAACCAATTGTTGGATATTTGGTCAACTTTTGTTGAACTTTATGTATAATTCTTAAAAAGATGTATATTTTCTCTCACACACACACACACATGTGCTCACACTGAGACATTTCATGTGCATGCACCGAAACTAATCTATTTAAATTTGTGTTGCTACATTTTCCCTCTTCCTCTTTTTTATTTTCTTTTATTGAAATGGTGTAATAACATTGATTTAAAAATGTATGCACTTTTTTTTAAAAAAAGCAAGTCAATGTACCATTAACAAAGTATAGCTATGGCTCTTCTGTGGTAACATGCAGAAAGTTCTGCTGGAATCAAAGAGTGGGGAATGAGATGGTTTCTTACATTTCTCAATGGTTTGGATTTTTAGTACATCTCATTCTGGAAAAGAAAGTATGTTTATTTACCCCAGTCTCTTCATTAATACTTTCTTCTTTTTTTGCAGGCTTCATGACCAAACACACTTAGGCTGGTCTTCACGCCCCAAGACAGATAAAGATCTTGCCTACTGGCGAAGAAGAGGGCAGGATTTTACTGTATTGTTGGGCTATACGGACAAAGGCAACTCTGAAATGAAAGGAATGGCAGCACCCTGTTCCTTGTACGGGCGTGATAGAGAAAGTAAGTGGGAGATGGGTGGAGGGGCAGAGAACATGAGGAGAACTGGCATGCCAGAGAAGCAGAACCTCTCCGCTGACTACAAGTGGCAACGTTTAAGGACAGAAAGTTGGAACCAGCCAACCAAGCTTGGAGGACTTGTGCCTGATGGTGATAGAGAGCGGCTGCTTCAGGATACATATTTAGCGAGACAAGGTGATGTTGCTGGTGCCTCCTGTGCTAAGGGAAAATCCCAATCCTTGCCAAGAGTTCTCTCACCAGAGGGCCCGAGATGCTTTGAAATGCCTTCCCTGGTCAACCATAAGCACTCACTCGGGAGAACAAAAACAGCTCCTTGTCCCCCAGTGAGTTTGGAGGTCTCCAAGCACCCGGATCCAGTGGCCCACTTCCTTCCTTTACCCAAGCCCAAGTACGGCAGACCGCTGAAACCTCCCTCGTATGAACTTCATCAGCAAACCAGGGGGAGCCTGGAAGCCAACTCCCTCCAGGACGACCCACGGAAAGATGAAGCCATCTCTTATTTGACCAAACTTAATGAGCAGATTCAGGACTCTTGTGCTCAAGAGTCAGGCCTGGAGCCCCCTCTGTACATACCCCCTCCAGGTTATAAATCCCCTTCTCAGCAAAGTATGAATCGGCATTTGCCTGGTGAAGTGCCTGACTATGGTATGTGCTTTAATAATGGTATGCAGAGTCCGGTGGAAAGAGCCATCCCTGGCTACCCACCGACTGCCAGAACTGCGGGTGAGCACTGGAAGGACGAACAGATTCCTCATGACAAGAAAAGCCATCCTAGGCGCATGGAGGGCTACCTGTCTTCTGTCCAGTACATTCCTTTTGATGACCCTCGGATACGTCATATTAAAATAGCACACCCAGATCGTCTTCAAGAGAATGACAGAGTTGCTGAGGCTGCCAATCAGATACATTCCTATGCCTTCCAGGAGAATTCTCTGGAACTAGACTACAACAGTGCCTTTTCAGATATGCCGAGCTCTCTAAATACCGCTGTGAAAAGTGACCAGGTCCCTGGCAGCTCTGCACATAGCAGCAGATGGTTGGTAGAGTCCAGCATAGACCAGAACAATTGTGCCTTGTCAATCCAAAGAGACACAGGTTGTGATGCAGGTAATGGCTTGAATTGCAAATTCCCCCAAAGCCAGCTGTCTGCACAAAGCCCACATACAGAATCCCACTGTGAGTCGGTGACTAAAGTGAAAACTTTTGAACCTGGAACAGAAATCTTGAACAAGAAAAGTTCAAAGAAAAAAATGAATGAAATGATATTTTGCTTGGTCTCTGTCCCAGTGAAATCTGAAGTGAACCTGCCAGATATTGATAGGAACAACAACTTAATGCAAGGAGCCAATGGGCTTGATAACAGTGGGGCCCTGCAGGAACAAAGTCTCCTAAGTACCTCTTCCACAGATTTGGAACTCCAAGCACTCACAGGAAGCATGACAAATAAGAATGAGTTACAAAAACAAGAATGGTGGAGACCAGAGTTCAAACAATTGAATGATCTCAGATTCCCACAGCCTGCAAAGCACAAGGAGCTCCAGTACTCTGGCTCGTGGCCAGGTGATCAGTACAAGGACCAGCAAACACAAACCAGTTTCATAGAAGAACCCAAAGCCCCACGATATCATCATGAGATAGAACCTAGGGGGTCAAGTTCAGGGGCGACTTCCCGGTTGTTAAGATATGGAATGCCGGCTGCAGAGCCAGCAGTGACTGCTGATGAGAGAAGGGGTAGGCCAGTTCCATCCAGTGCAAAAGTTCAGGGGTGTCTTGAGAAACCCAGCAACGGTGTGTGTTCCAAGGCTGTAGTATCTAGCCCAAAGGCATGCCCAAGCCTTCCACTTGCTTCAGGTACAGATCTTCCTGGGCAGGGCAAAGAAATGAGTACTATTCTCAGGAAGGAAGAGAGTTCTTGTAGCAGTAAGGAGCTGTTTGGGCAGTTCCTCCTGAAACCTGTGAGCCGTCGTCCTTGGGATATAATAAGTGAACTAGAAAGTTTTAACAAGGAGCTTCAAGAGCAGGAGGAGAGTAGTGAAGATGGTGTGGACAATGAGACCAAGAAGGAGGAAGAGGAGGGAGGGAGGGAAGAGAGGGAAACTTGTAGGACTGATGGACCAAATCAGGTCCGTAGACCTGATGTGCAATCGGAAACTGTTATACAGGTTGGTCCTATATTTAAACAGGGAAGGAATAAAAGCAAGTCTGAAAGTTGTGCGTTTGAAAGTTCAAGTAGAAGGGCTGTACCGAGTGACCTTCATGTATGTGCTGCACTGCAAAGTGGCTCGCAAGCCAAAGAAAGCAGCAAATCAGTTAGGGTCACAAATGGATATCTCGATGAAGAACCAAGAAAGGAGGAAGCTGGGAAAAGGATGATGAAGAAGGCTGCTAGCCTGCAGCCAACCAAAAAAGTTCTGTCAGGCAGCTCCAGTGATGAAAATCACTACAACCCCTTCAACAGCATCAACTTCAGGGAAGAATGCCAGGTTAAAAAAGTCAGCTCTAATATGCTGAAGAAGAATACAGCAGTCAGGAATAACCTGCCTTTGGAAAGAGGGTCTTCAGTGTGCTTATCTTTAACAAACAGAAACCAAGGTCTTTCTGAGCCAGATTTGAGATCTGTGGGACTGAATGCTGGTCAGGGGCCTGACACACTTGATTGCTATGGGGAGCCTGCTGCCTCTGAGATTCCTCCAAATGAATCACTTCAAGCAAGAGCAGCCAGGATCCTGGGCATAGATGTAGCTGTGGAGTCCCTCTTACCTGGCGACAGAACACTTCCAGACAAACATGCTCATTCAGATAATGAGTCACAGAGCCATGAATTACCAGCTGAAAAGGTACCAGGGAGCATGAAGAAAACAGAAGCAGCTTCTTATGAAGAAAGAAGAAAGTGCGGCTGGACCGAAAGCTCCTTCTTTGTTGGAGATAGAAACATCTCACTTGGGTCCTTTGAAGACCAGAACTCTGGTTTAGAAACTTTGATAGCTGAGCACCAGTTTGAACATCATAAAGGTCTTGGCAGACATGAAGAAGACCAACCTCCTGTTCTTGAGTCTATTGTGCTTCCATTTGCAGAAAGAAATTTGATAGCACCCAACCTAGAAAAAAGAGCTAGAAGCACTTCTAAGGTGATTGAGACCTTGCAAGGCAAACTTGCAACTCCCCCAAATCGAGCTGCTGTGGATCGTCTGGTTAGGATGAAAGAAATTGACTCAGTTTCTCGTATGAGGCGTCTCAGCATAAAAAATGTAGATTCTGGTGAAGATGGAGATGAGGACAAGCAGCCCAAGGGGCCAGAGGAACGAGCAAGTGAAGCCTCCTTAAGCCGTAATGAGCTGCCCCGCAAACTATCCCATGGGAGTTCTGTTTGCAAGCGCATTATCTCGCTGGCTGAAAATGGACTCTCAGACAACAGGAATGAGAAGAAAACTGGAAGAGATTTGTTTTGTTTCGGTAAGCCATACATTTTATCATCAGCACTTTGGTGGGAGAGAAGTCCCCAAGTTACAAACATCCGAGTTGCAAACAACCCACGCAACGAACAAACTGTCAAAAAGCGTATTAACTTAAAAATGCTGTGGAAAATCACCACCACTATATTTATTTATTATTTTATTTATTTTATTTAAAATTTTTCTATGCCACCCCCATCGCAACAAAGCCTTGGGGCGGCTCACAACACTATAGAGAGAGAGGAAGTGAAAGAGGAGGGAGGGAAGGCCTCCAGAGCATCACCATAGAGAGAGGCCTCCAGAGCATGCCTTCCTTCCCCTCCCATCCAGAGAGGGAACTCCCTCAGTAGGATTTCCTTGCTGCCAAGAGCAGGAACTGAAGAGGTTGGGCAAGAGGGGAGGCTAGAGGTACTTGCGGTTTCTTCACTTTCGTGGAGGTCCTGCATCCCTGTCCCCCACAAATGTGAAGGGCCAACAACACTTGATCTGACTTACATACAAATTCAACTTAAAGACGAACTTTCATTTTCTCAGGAATGAAACTCGTCCATAACCCAGGGACTGCCTGTATACAAACCCTGTAACTACCATTTAATTTCAAACAAAGAAACAAAACAGTAGTCAGCCAGTGGTTAAGATATATTCTTCACTAAAATCAGTGGCTCAGTTTGCTCAGCATAGCAATTCATTGTGGATTGTTACCCTGTCATGTGAAAGCTGGACCAGTTTCCCCAGGGTGGGTTGTTTGAGGGCAACAAGTCACCCTGACACTCCCATGACTTGTAGTTGGGGTTGTTGCGCCAGTGATGGTTGTTGCGTTGTCCAGACCAGGCGGGTACTAGGGATCAGCCAGCTACGGGCTTGGGAATAGCAGCAAAACCTTCTTGCCTCTCTTGCCAAGTTTGCCTGGGCACCTACCCACTTGGGGATGACCAGCACTTACTGGATGTCTCCTGCCATGATCACAAGCAATTTTGGCTTGCTGCAGCATTTTTGTCACTTTAATTCTTTTTTTAGAGATGATAAAAGCTGGCTTCACTCCCAACTTTTGCAGTCCATGATTTGGCAGCCACTGACAGTTCCTTACTAATATCTAAGCAACACACTGGTGGGGGGGTGCTGTAACTGGTTGGGAAAGAATTCTGGAAAAATGCAAGCCACCCCCTTTTAAAAGAAGCTGTCAGTTTTGCTAGCTGTCAGCTAGCTGTCAAAACGTTGGCTACATTTAAATGAGGGCTTTGGCAGGGTTCTCCTTGGCATCATTATAGGGACATATGCAGGCATGAGTACATATGTCCCTGTCAAGAAAGCATGGAGAAACCCCTTTTAAAATATGCAAATCCAAACAGATGGGTTGTTTAGAGGCTAGACAATTATAGCCGTTTACCTCTGCTCAACACTCTTCCACCCTTTACTCTCAGGCTACGTGTCCCTGACAACCCACCAGTTTTTAAACTGATTGGGTGGGGGTCATTATGTGCAAGCAACCAACCCCTGAGAGAGTTGGTTCGGTTCCGATCAAGCCATCTTGAAGTATCAGTTGTTGTCTCATCAATGAATGGATCACTATAACACTGTCTTCTCCCACAGCAACAGTTCTGTAGATGAATCCATGGTGATTCAGAGAAGACGTACTCAATCAGTATGGAATTGTTTTCTTAGCTTCTTAGCTTTGAGGTTCCACCAGTTGCAGAAAAGTAATGGGTGTGTTAACCTTTTAGTGTCTGCCTAAAACCCTCCTCCCCTGTCTGGAGGCCTTTCCATCACAGGAAACACATCACACATCAAGTATCCTTTAGTGGAGTAGGATGGAACCTGTGCAGCTGAAGAGCAGCCATTCCCAACCTGGCATGCCTCAGATGTATTGGACTACAATTCCTATCATCCCGAGCCAGCATGGTCCATGATGATATGTTCTAACACCTCTGGAAGGTCACATAGAGTATTCTTGAACAGTGGTTTTCAACCGCCAGTCCATGGACCAGCGCCAGTCTGCAGGACTGCAGCCCGCTTTCTGTGGACTGGCACAGGGGCATCTAGACACAGCCTCTTTCTCGGTTGGCATCATGTTTGCAGGGGTGAGCTGGTGCTGCCTGGGAGGCTAGAGAGGGGAGAGATGGAAGCCATGCTGCACTGATTTCACTTTGTTCTTTTGCTGGCATTTTTGTTGTTCCGTTTCTGGTTGTTTTGGAGAATGTTCTTTTTCTTTTTTTTTTTTTTGGTATTGTGTTTGGAAACTAACACAGATAATACTGTGTTATGTGTTCGGTGCTTTTTGATTCTGCCTCAGTAGTCCCTGAGGTGGTTTTCCTGTTTTTGCTGGTCCTAACTGTGAGAAGGTGGAAAACCACTGTTCTAGAAGATCCTCCTGTACTTCAATCAGGACTGTGATTTTAGCTGTGAACAGAGATAAGAGTTTTAAGACAAGTGGAAAATTCAATTCATGTCAAGCTTCAAAATCCTGCCAAAACATTGAGAATTTTAATTGTACATATTGTGGTGCTTTTCAAACAAACATACTAGTCAATTATATAAGTACTCCCCGAGAATCATCATCTGTAACCTGCAATATGGGGTGGGTCTCTTTCCCCTTGCCTCAATAATGTCCCTGCTTCAAAGGCATTTACCACTTTTCAGATTAACTTCTAAGGTAACTATAAAAAGTAGCTATAATTTTAAAATGAGAGAGTTGGCCTTACACAAAAGCCGCATCGAGGAGGCCATGCTTATCGACAAACCTGTGGTCGGAGCTGCTCTGCTCTGCTGCCCTTACCAGCTGGGAAGTTGCAAAGCTGCAAGCCAGTGGTTTTCGCAAGTCTCCTTTACCAGTTGGAATGAAGCACGTAGCATGATTGATTTTGATTCAGAGAAAAATGCTTTCATATTTGCTCCTCTACTTTTAAACTGGCTAGTCAGCAGTCTCACAAATCCTCTACTGTGATGTCGCAAAAGAGTTTTAATAGATTCTGAACTCAGAAGAAAGAAGTGCATTCTAAATGCTCCTTCAGATGTTTTGGACCAGCATACTAGCTGGCTTCCCTGCTGTCTGGACCACAGAGATTGGAGTCAAATAACGTCTCCAGACACAGTCTAAATTCAGTGTTCTAGAATTGTCCATAAATATCCCAAGCCCACCAGATCTATCCAGGAGAGCTTTAGTATGGGTACATAGCTGGTTGTCATAAAATGGTTCTCTAGTTGCTATAAAAGCCCTCAACTTTTACACAGCCACTGCTTAATGTAAGAGCCATGCTAGACTGGACCTAAAGGCCATCGAGATTAGCATTCTGTTTACAGTGGCCGACCAACAGCCCCACCACCCTCCTGTCCGTATCCTCCAGTGCGAGTGTACATAGGCATCGGGCCTCTATTCCTGGAGGCGATACAGAGCCACGAGGACTAGTAACTATTGATACTGCTCTTGCCCATTAATTCATCCAGTCCCCTTTTTAAGCAACCCAGATCAGTTGCCCTCTCTGCATCTTGTGAAAGTGAATTCCATACTTTCACTGAAATTCAGTGATGCAGCCATAGTTTGCCACCAAAATTTGATGATGTGGCAGCACTTTAAAAAAGCGGTGAGTGGGGGAGAATTCTGTTTATATTTAAGCAAAATCCTGGAAACCTCATGAGAGTGCAATTTTGCTTTAAAACAAGTCACACACTCTTTCCAAGTGCATGTCCTATAGTCAGACACCAAGCACCTTAGAGGAAGGCACATCCCATGTCAGTGCAATTCTCCCCCGACACAGAAGCTCCTCCCTGCCTCTGCTACTCACAAGTATTTAGGAATGTAGAAAATGTCCTTACACCAAGTTAGGCCATAGGTCCACCTAGCCTAGTATTGTTGGCAGTGGCTGGGAGCAACTCCCAGGCATTGAGGCAGGATGCCTTCCTAACCTGAACTGGAGATGCTGGTGGGACTGAACTTGTGACCGTCCGCGTGTATGTGGAGTGTGGTGCACCACTGAGCCGTGGCTCCTCTGCTCTGAGCTATAGCATTCTTCTCTCCGTTTCAGACTGAGATGAGGTCTTGCCTGGCAGGACTTGAAAAGAATTTCTTTCCAGTTCCAAATATATGCAAATCTATATGTATCAGGAGAAACACGGGGGGAAAAGATGTTCATTTAAAGTTTTTAAAAAATCGGAAGCATAGATGGAACAAACCATGTTTAAGACTGGGAAAACAAGAAACTCAAACAAAACTTGGCAGGCCTTTCCTTCCCTGTTGCTGCTTCTAAAGGACCCAGCTCACCAAGATTGTCTTGGCTGAAATCCTTCCTTCCACTCTAGCAGATTGTTTTTCTCTATGTGTCAGAACGGCTGTCTATATTTTGGCAGTTTGTTGCAAGTTCATGATTCTCCTGTGATAAGCACAGCTATTGTGTGTTAGCCCATCTTGGCATTCCCCAGACATGTTGGGTTACAATCCTTAGCGTGGCTGGTTGGGGATTCAGGGAGTTATAATCCAACACTCTTGGAGGGCACCAGGTCGGGAAGGCTGTATCAGGCTGATTTATGTAAAATGGTTCACATAGATAAGCTATCTCAGAGCTTTCCTAGATGCATAGCTGTGCTTTTCTCCTGCCAAAGATAGCTCACCATGCAGCAAAGGCTTCCTCTGCTGTGCTCTAGCTGGTTTGCCAGCTGCAGGGCGATCCTGGCCGCTTTGCTCTCACTTGAGTGTTGTGGCTCTTGCTGTGTTTATTTGACAACTGACTTGCTGCATCAGTGTAGCATCATGGGAGGTATATTTCAGAAATATTATGCATTCATCAAGTTCCTTTCTTTGTAGTGGTTGGCTCTGAGAACAAAATTTTGTGGCAAGTGAGGAAGGGAAAGAAAATGTAACCAAACTGCTTATCAAAGCCGCAAATAACAAACGGAATCTGGAAAGACTCCCTTACCTGGCAGAGACATGGAAGTCATTAACCTCAGAAAATGTGCATTGTAGCTTGATTTATCTGTTCACATGTCATTATGTTTTGATGGCAACTCTGAGGATGGGAAGTTGTGATTTCTGATCTGGAGGAAGCACCCTAGTATTAAATTGGCAGATACATAGGTTAAAGAGTCCTACATTGGATTCTCCCTGAAGAAAAATGCTGTGCAAATCTAAAACTTGCTACATTTGCCAAATAACTGGAAAAGTTTCAGTCAAAGCTGAGCTACCTAACCTATTTTGAATCCTCAGAAACCATATGGAAATCGCCATCAGCATTCAGTGCTATCTCTGATGTACCTGTAGCACTGCCACGTCTAAATATACTGAAAGTTTCATACACACAAGCAGATGCTTGTAACATAGAGGTAACAACGCTCTGGAATTGCATTCCGTGTCTTGCGACAAGGCCCAGTTCATATTTCATGGTACCCAGAGTTTAAAGCAGCCCCGGCAGCTGTGAGCAAGTGAGCCTGCTGGCATCCAGACAGCTGCCCGCTTCCACTGAGCTGGCCAACCCAAGCACAGTGCATCCCTGTTTTCTGGTCTGGGATAGCTAAACCCAGAATTGTACTTTCTCAGAGGAGAATCAACCCAGACTTGTAACCAATGGTTACAAATCTTGGGTTACAAGACTCAGTTGTTCCCCCTTCAAAAGTTCTGACATCCCAAAAAAGAATCCAAGGATGGTGTGTCCCTGATAGTTCAGTGGGAGCAGAGAGTATCTGGGAGCCAGCAAATTCGGTTGTTTCTACTTCATTCTCAACAATTCATGGTTTAAGATACCACAAGTGGTTGCAGCATGCAAACCAGATCTTCACTTTGCCTTTGCTTCACTTTAAGAATCAACCTCTCTGTTGGAGGGGTGACTAATAAGCTTTGATTTGCCTTTCCAAGATCCAACTAGTGAAGGAGTTTGTCCTGAGCATTAGCACATCATGAATAATACCTAGAACTGATGTGGTCCCTTTGGCCTGGGTTTGTTATATTGTAGTGCTTAACTTGCTGGGTATCCTTGAATGAGCTACTAGTATCTGATCTATTTGTAAACTGTGATTGCCATACAAGACTGTTTTGAGAATGAGCAGTTTAAAGACTGTCAAATGCTGTGTTTAATCACATTACCATTGGCCTGGCTTGCACATAACTCTAGCCCATGGTTTATTTAATCCTACCCAGGAGTTGTCAAGCAGATGATTGAACAACGATTGATTGATTCTCTGAATCCTTGGGTTTCTTTTTCCACCCTCCTACTGCCTTGCCCACTCCTACCCTTGATTCAAGAGATGCAGGTGGCTCAGTGGTTTAAACTGCTGTGCTGGTTGTTTGAAAGGTCACTGGTTCGAAGCTACACAACGGGGTGAGTTCCTGTTGCCCTGTCCAAGCTCCTGCCAACCATGCAGTTCGAAAGCATGCAAATGCAAGTAGTTAAAAAGGTACCAGTTCGGTGGGCAGGTAACAGCGTTCCATGCACTTCGGTGTTTAGTCATGCCGGCCACATGACCACGGAGACTGTCTGCGGACAAACGCTGGCTCCCTCGGCTAGGAAATGGAGATGAGCACCGCCCCCTAGAGTCAGACACGACTGGACTTAATGTCAAGGGGGGAAACCTTTACCTTTACCTTTTACCCTTGATTCAAGTAAGCACTTTTATGGCATATAATACTGCCATGGTCTCAGTGGAAGAGCACATACTAGAAGGCTTCAGGTTCAAGCCTTGGAATCTTTGGATAGGGATGGAGGCGGAGATCTTTCCTAAAGCCCTGAGGAGCCCGTCACCTTGTGTGATGGTACTAGGGTAGATGTACCTTTGCTCTGATTTGGAATAAGGCAGCTTCCACTGTTCTAACATGTAAACTGGGTAGACTTTTTAATCACTTGTCCACTGCGTCTGTAGCCTGACAAAACAACCCATGAATAACCAAGTGTTCTGGGTTCGCACATAACAGCAGTCAACCCAAAATTCACAGCTAAACAACCAACTCTGTTCTTGTCCTGGGTTGTTTATGGCTAACAAACCATTAGCACAGCCATGTTCGTGCATCATGTCAACCCAGAATTCAACAACCTATACCATGGCTTATCATTATGTGCAAACTAGGCTTATGTGCCACTGAAATCAAAGGGGCCTGCCTAAGCATAACAAATTCATAAATAACAGTGTCATAGACTAGTAGTACTACTAATAATGGTTGACTTTCCTATTTTACAGATGCATATGATCCCACCAGAGTGGAAAGGGTGTGATACAAAAAGGCATGAGTCTCAAGAAATTTCTACCCTCTGTGAAGCATTTTGCTGGGTTCCAACACATGGAAATAGCTTTAAGGCTTGGTGTTTAGAGTGTACTGACAAAGCCTTCATCTTTGCCAGAGTGGGAAAACAGTTCTTTATATTCCCCTGCTTGATGGAGCTTGCGAGAGAGAGAGCACGCGCACACGCAAAAAATCTCTCACTTTGGAACCATCTGTTTTTTGTAGCATTAAGACTTTAATGCCTCTACTTGGCATGGATTGATCATTTTTAAACCGTGCTGAGCAGCATTTAGCCAGGATGGTAAACAGGATGAAGATGGGAGGGGTGCAGGGGAAGGTTGGCGTGTTCCTCTGTGTAAAATGTAAACAGGGGAGATTAACAAAATGATTTTTTAAAAGAATGTGAATTTCTAAGCTAAACATCCGAACCTCTGAACTTTAAGCTTTGTTTAACTTACACCATAAAGCAGACAGTGAGAGAGATGCTGTTGCCGCCTTTTCAGCTCAAGGGAACGCAAGCCAACAGGAACGAAGTCTGATTGACTGTCTGTGAAATCAGTTTGGACTTTGACTGGTTGAAGGGGCTTTGATTTAAGTTTCTTGTTTGCCACGTGCAAGAAACTGAAAGAAAATGCAAGCAAAACAATACAGCATCAAGGCCAACCCATTGCCCTACATGTAATTCCTGCCTGTACAGACACTGCTACCAATTTACCAGTATATCACCATGGTCCTGGCTGCTGTTTTGCACTCACTGTTATCTAGCTAGTACTACTATTTTCTTTTGTAGCTTGCACTAGAAATTCTTTATAAGACAGAATTGCTAGTTTAATACAGCAGACCCCTTCAGCAGAAACACTTTTTAACAAAACGTGATCTATTTTTCTACCATAGAACAACTTGTTCGTTGTGGTCAGGTTGTTAAGAGGCATCTTTTTATTTTTATTTTTTTTAAAGCAAGACAGGCTTTTCAGAGAAGCTAGCCAAGAAGGGTTTTTGTGTATCCTGTGCACATTCCACATGATCCTCCTATCCACAACCACCGCCGTGTCAATTGTCACAAGAGGTATGTGTGTATGTATATATATATTCCCCATAAAAACAAAGCTGTATGTATTTAGACAGGCGTATGTTTTCTTTTTCCTATTGCTCGGATCACTGCTTTTAAAGGAGCACACAGCTCAGAATGGTCCAGGGTGGTCTTCCACGTGTAACATTCCATAAGTGTAACTATCAGAAAGCAGAAGCAGCTTACCATCTAGCACAGCCTTCCCCAGGCTTGTGCCCTCCAGTCATGTTGGCCTGCAATTCCCCTCATTTCCAAGTGGGGGAGCAACTTGCCCTAAGAAACCTGGGGTGGCACGAAAGCTAATGATTCGGAGAAGTCTGAATTTATGTAAGCTATGGAATATGTAACTACCCCTCCATAGCTCTGTCCATAGCTAGTACTTGGGGCCGGTGTCTCTTTGCACCTGGCTTCAGGGAACCTGCAGTATATAATAATTCTCACAAGGAGCTGCAACCCCAGGTTGGACCGGCAATGTGCCAGGGTCAATTCCTAGTGAAATTGGCATGGTGGAAGTGGTCTCGCTTCCCTCTACCTTCCTTGCAGCAGATCTTATAAGCCGCATGTTTGGCAGGGCAACCCATAGGATTGGATTGTTGATCTCTGTGTTTGGGCTTTTATATTTACGCTAAATTTTCAATAATAATAACCTCATGGCTGATCCAGGCTTGTGACCAAAAGAAGGAGCTCTTTATGACACTTCTTTTCAAAGCATTCTTTTAAAAAATATTCCAATTGTATTTAAAGAGAACCTTGCACATGCTTCTAGGTTTAATACCAAGGTAACCTGCACAACATGTATTTATATAGACTTTTTTAAAAAGTGGGTGTCCTTCCATGTTTTTGTTGCTAACATACTTCCGAAAATTTATTTCTCTCTGCTTGTGTTGGCCTTTTTATATGTTGTTTTCTCTCCTAAAGCCATGTTATCTGTTAAGCATTTCAAATTCCTGCACTCTGATTTTTGGGGATGGGCCTGTTATTTGGCCAATATGAAAATAACCCACCTTTTGTGCTTTGGCAGCCACAATTACATATCTGTAAGCTTTGATTCTGTTACATAGAATCATTATTAAATATTTAAAGTTTGTTATACATTAAACAAAATAGTTGTTATGGTTTCTTTTCTTGGAATGTTTGAGTTTTCTTTCTTCTATAACTGTAGGTAGTCCGTATCTTTCAAAGACACCGATACCATAGTTGATAGGCATAAAAGAATTGTACATTCAGCAGCAACAAGCTATGACTCCTGAATCAAAACGGGATGGGCTAATAGTAAATATTATCATTCACATATCTCAGATGAACAATTCTATTATCTTAGTATTATATATAGACCTTCATATTTTTTCTGTCTTCATTGTAACTTATGTATATAGTGCGTTCATTCAAAGTGGCCATTGGGGCACTTAGTGAATTTTTTTGCTCTAGATTTATTTATTTATTTAGGAGACTTCTATGCCACCCCATTTGCCGAAGCCTCGGGGCAGCTCACATCCATAAATAAACTTCCATAGAATAATATAAATTAACAGTATAAATTTAAGTCGCCCTGGCCAAAGAATAAAATGAATAAATACTATTAACAATTAAAATGACATTTGAATAAAAAGGTCACAACAAAAACAAAAACAAACAAAATCATACAAAAATTATACACTAAAAATATTAAAACCCTGGTGCATCTCGGCTTAAACATTTTTAAAAATCCTACATAATAAATTAACACTTAAAATAAGTTTTAAATAAAAAGGTCTTAGCCTGGCACCGAAAAACAAATAATGACGGCGCCAGGCAGACCTCTCTGGGGAGCTCATTCCATAGATTGGGCACCACCGCAGAGAAAGCCCTCCTCCAAGTACTCACCCTCCTAATTTCCTTCACGGAGGGTTCCCGGAGAAGGGCCTCTCCCACAGATCTCAAGGGGCGGGCGGGCATATATAGATGTAAGCGCTCCTTCAGGTAACCAGGACCCAAGCCGTTTAGGGCTTTATAGGTCATCACCAACACCTTGAATTGGGCCCGAATGGGAAGCCAGTGAAGCTGACGGAGGACTGGAGTCATGTGAACATAACGTCCAGTCCCCGTCAGCAGCCTGGCAGCTCCATTTTGAACCAATTGAAGTATCCGGACCGTCTTCAAGTGTAGCCCCATGTAAAGCGCGTTACAGAAGTCAAGTTGGGAAGTCACCAACACGTGTGTCACTGTCGCCAGGCAGTCGTACTCCATGTAGGGGCGCAGCTGATGGATCAGCCGAAGCTGAAAGAAAGTGCTCCTCGCCACCGCTGTCACCTGAGCTTCCAGTGAAAGCTCTGGGTCGAGGAGCACTCCCAAGCTGCGAACCTTGTCCCTAAGAGGGAGTGCAACCCCATTCAGGACTAGGTTGAATTCACCCTCCCCGAAGCCCGATCTGCCAACCAACAGGACCTCCGTCTTGTCTGGATTGAGCTTCAGTTTATTGGCCCTCATCCAGCCCATTACCTTGGCCAGGCACCGGTTCAGCACAGCCACTGCCTCACCTGGATTGGTGGAAAACAAGAGGTAGAGCTGGGTATCATTAGCGTACTGATGATTCCGCAGCCCACACCTCCTGATGACCTCTCCCAGCTGTTTCATGTAGACATTAAACAGCAAAGGGGACAAAATGGACCCCTGCGGTACTCCATGGCATAGCTGCCATGGTGCAGAGCCATAGTCCCCCAGCACCACCTTCTGGAATCGTGCCTCCGACCATGGTGCAGTGCCTCCGACCCCCAATCCCGCTAGCCTATCCAGAAAGATGCCATGGTTGATGGTATCGAAAGCCGCTGAGAGGTCCAGAAGAACCAACAGGGATGCACTCCCCCTGTCCTTCTCCCTGCACAGGTCATCATACAGGGCAACCAAGGCAGATTTAGTACCATACACGGGTCTGAAGCTGGACTGAAATGGGTCCAGATAATCAGTTTCATCCAAGAGTGCTTGGAGTTGTCCCGCCACCACCCGCTCCAACACCTTGCCCAGAAATGGGATGTTGGCCACTGGTCTATAATTAGTGGCCATCTCTGGATCCAGTGACGCTTTCTTCAGGACCGGT